TCCAAACACTCAAACGAGCCTTGTGCACCGCACCAATACTATCCCTGCCCGAAGGAATAAAAGACTTCGTAGTCTATTGCGATGCATCGAATCAAGGGCTCGGATGTGTCCTGATGCAGCGAGGTATGGTCATCGCCTATGCCTCGAGACAGTTGAAGACACACGATGTTAACTACACGACCCATGATCTTGAACTAGGAGCAGTGGTGTTCGCTCTGAATATCTAGAGACATTACTTGTATGGAACGAAGAGCACTATCTTTACCGACCACAAGAGTTTACAACACATTTTCGATCAAAAGGAACTCAACATGAGACAACGAAGGTGGGTCGAGCTACTCAGTGATTACGAATGCGATATTCGTTATCATCCGGGTAAAGCCAACGTAGTAGCAGACGCCCTAAGTCGGAAGGAATATTCTGGTTGAAAAATCAAGTCATTGTCAATAACCATCCATTCACACTTGTCTAATCAAATTCAGACGGCCCAACATGAAGCCATGAAACTTGAAAATGTGACGAGTGAATCCCTCAGAGGAATGGACAAGAATTTAGAAGCCAAGGGTGACGGAGCTTTATATTTCATGGATCGGATCTGGACACCGAAACACGGTGGTTTCCGAGATTTGGTCATGACTGAGGCGCACAACACTCGGTATTCCGTCCACCCAGGTTCAGATAAGATGTATCTGGATCTTAAAAAGCTATACTGGTGGCCTAATATGAAATGAGAGATTGCTACCTTCGTGAGTAAATGCCTTACTTGCGCAAAGGTTAAGGTCGAGTATCAGAAGCCCTCTGGTTTATTGCAACAACCAGAGATCCCGGAATAGAAGTGGGAGCGGATCACTATGGATTTCATAACCAAGTTGCCCAAGACAACGGGTGGACTTGACACCATATGGGTCATCGTCGATAGATTGACCAAGTCTGCACACTTCCTACCTATCAAAGAAACCGACAAGATGGAGAAACTAACTAGGACATACATTAGGGAAATCGTACGGCTACATGGTGTGCCTATATCTATTATCTCCGATAGAGATAGTAGGTTTACCTCGAGATTTTGGCAATCACTACAACATTCCTTGGGAACAAGGCTAGACATGAGTACAGCCTACCATCCTCAGACCGACGGACAGAGTGAGAGGACCATCCAAACTCTGGAAGACATGTTGCGAGCCTGCGTGATTAACTTTGGGAAGGCATGGGATACTCATTTACCCCTTGTCGAGTTTTCCTATAATAACAGTTATCACACGAGCATCAAGGCTGCTCCATTTGAAGCCCTCTACGGCCGAAAGTGCATATCCCCTCTGTGCTGGGTTGAGGTGGGTGATACCCAACTAGAAAGGGGGCAAGCTTCCGACGTTACTCTTACCGGTCCGGAAATCATCCGGGAAACGACAGAGAAAATCGTTCAAATCCGTGAACGATTAAAAGCCTCTAGAGACCGACAGAAGAGCTACGCGGATAAACGAAGGAAACCTTTGGAATTTCAGGTGGGAGACCGAGTCCTTCTCAAATTCTCACCCTGGAAGGGCTTGATACGCTTCGGCAAGCGTGGGAAGCTAAATCCGAGGTACATAGGGCCTTTCGAGATTCTTGCAAGAGTCGGCCCCGTAGCTTACAAACTGGATCTACCAGGCGTACTTCGTAACGTACATTCTACATTCCACGTATCTAACTTGACAAATTGTCTATCCGACGAGACTCTCGTAATCCCACTCGACGAAATCGAGATCAACGAGAGACTCAATTTTGTGGAAGAACCAGTGGAAATCATGGACCAAGAGGTCAAGCAAACAAAAGAAAGTCGCATACCCATCGTGAAGGTTCGCTGGAACGCTAAACGAGGACCTGAATTCACATGGGAACGCGAAGATCAGATGCAACGCAAGTACCCACATCTGTTTCCCTAATCCACGAGTGTTCTCTTACTTTGAACTTCGGGACGAAATTCCCTCTAACGGGGGGATGATGTGACAACCCGATATTTCAACTCTTTGTAATGACCTTCTAGGTCAAGTATTGTAAACATCTTTCAGTTACTAAGATTAACTTTGATAATAAAATGTCCAAAAAGTTTCTATTTATTTCTTCTATGTTTAGATATCATCAAACCATGATCGTGTGTAAAAAGAACGCCCAAATCTGACTTCGTATATTGAAATTATTATATTTCAAGTCCAGCTTAGCAACAAACGGCTAAAAACTCGAAACGGAGATCGAGCGACATTTGGCTGGAATGACCTAAACGAGAATCGAAGGTCTCGACAATGGTATTTCAACGGTAAAAAGTCTGGCAAAAACCGACGTCAGATAAAGAAGTTATGATTTTTTTAAAGAAATTCCTTAATCACGTCATTTTAATAAATAAATAATAAAAATAATGTCGGAATTTGCCAACGGAATCTAAACGAAAGTTGTAGATTGTAGTCTCACCTTCGCGGTGATATAAAGAACGTCGAAAACGGAGTTCGTATGAAGGAGATATGAATTTTTGAAGTTTGATAAATAATTTATATATAAATTTTATTAAAAATTCGGTATTATCCGAAGAGGAGTCAGCCTAGGGCCGACGTACGCACCGTGTACGCTCGTACGCCCCGCGTACTCGAAGGGCACGGCCTCGGAACGTCCACGTAGCCCTATGCGAAGCTATCCGACCCGCTGTCCCATCCGACCCGCTCCGTCCGAAGTACGTAAGCGATGACGTACGGGTACGCGCTGCGTACGCCCGTACGCCCCGCGTTCGGAGGCGGTTCAGCACCCCTATAAAAGGGATGCGAGCCTTTCCGACAATGTTGTTCATTTCCTCTCTTTCTCTCCCGATCTTGCCTCGATTTCCGTGCCCGATCAAACCCGAAGCTCTGGTCTTTTTGCTCAAGTCCCGAGGGTTGATTTTACTCCCGAGATTCCCGAGAATCCCGAGAAAAATCCGTTTCGCGAGACGAAGCTCTGCCCGGTTTTCGATCTCGCTATCTTCGAATTTCCAAGTGAGTTCATACCCCTTTATCCAACCTTTGAAATGCTTTTAAATGTTTTAAATACTTTATGAGGGGATACAAGTTAAACACTTATAGTTATTGCTTCGATCACATGTGATTGCATAAATCACATGTGATTAATAAATAGGAAACCAATGATTTTATCACTGTTCAAACTGTTTACTTCAAAATGTTTCACAAACTCTTTTACTTATCAAATACTTTTATTTAAACTTTGTTTTACTACCTATAAATTTGCATGCCCATATATGTATAGCCGTGTAATAAATGTTTAAAGGGCTTAGCAAAGCCACCTGTCCTATTTCCTTTTCCTCGATTTGGATGTGGTCTGGTGGAATTTCGGTTGACTATCCGAGGGTCGTTTCAATATTAGTTATATGTCGTATATACGTGTATAGACATAAAGGTACTTCCATATTAATGCTTATCAACACATCATTAGTAAGTTACCATCGGGGTAACACGGGATCATAGTACTACGATTTCTAGATCAACGAGTCAGTTCATTCATGAGTCAATATTCATTTCTAAGAGAACATATACAACGATACTAGAACAAGTAATATTATATTACATATACACGAAGACGTTAACAATTGTGATCCACTGTATGGGAGCATGTCTTAATTGTCATGACCCGGGTTGTAGCCAGAGTCTCTTGGAAGAAGAGCGTTGAGTTTGCGTATAAATCTATACTGGATTGACTATCCTACACCTTGTTGTTAGCTACAGTGGGACCGACAGGTCTACGGGTGCCAAACGTCATAACTTATTTTTCGACTATACGTTGTCGATGTTACCAGTCGATAGTATGGTGCAATTTATCACACGATACCTTAATATAAACCCGGTTTAAGGTAGTTAGTACCGCAGTAGTTCATATAAAACGAAACTACCGTACTACAATAATTTACCCATTACATTTTGGTGATAGCCTCACTTAAACTTAAATGTACAAACTATATTTTGTTAAATGATAGTTACACTTGGGGAATTACACACTTTTACATCAAACGAGCATACAAACAGTAAAGCCTTGGTATAGGGCTACTTTAAACAGAAAATATCGGTTTTTCTGAGAGATTCAAACGTTTACAAACACTTACATACATTTACAACTCATACTTGTGACAGGTTCAAAACGTTTTGATAACGAACCTCGACACTAAAATACTTATGAATTCACCAGCTTAATGCTAATAAACTCTTTCAAAATAACTTGTATTCTCAGGTCATCAGTAGACAGGTACCGATGCTAGCTTTTGAGAAGATGGAGCGCATTCAAGACTCATCATACTATTTTGATATACATTATATTTTTGGTGTCTAAAACTGTACGGAACACGCTTGTATTAAAATTATATATTTAATGCAATGGATGATGTTGTTTGCTTATTTACAATAACTGTGTTGTGATACTCTACATGACGTCCTCCGCCCCAGAATGTTTCCGCCATTCTTGGTTTTGGGGTGTGACAATTTTGAAATTAATTTCACATTAATCCTCAAAATAATTCATTTTGAGAAAATGGTGAGTGAAAGGGGCATCGGTGTTAATGATTAAAAGATAGGGGGAGAAGTTGTAAATGCTGTGCATATATAAAGTGTGTGTGCGGTGAGCCTTTATCACCATCATTTACTTTTGCCTCAACTGCACACGCACACTGTTTCTCTCTATATCTCATTCTTAATTCAAAAAATTTCTCGTGAAATCAAAGATTTGACTCAGTAAATTCTTATGAACTCGGTAAAAATTTTCATTGTTTGCTGTTAGATCTTGATTGTTTTCTGTTGGATCTTCATAAAAATTGTTTGTCTTCGAATATAACCGCATACGGTGTGTGCGGCTGACCGTGTGCGGCTGCATAATTTTGTGGATGTGCGGTTGCGGCCGCACATTTGCACGTGTGCGGTTGTGTGTAATCACATGTGTGGCTTCATTATTATTATTTTGTCCTAATAACTTTGTGTGTTAACTTTCAGATTAACATGGGAGACATTGAATTTGCGAAAGCTCATAATTCTGCAATTTTTCTCAAAGACCCTCTTGCAGTCCACAATGACTTGAAATTCATTGTGGATGGCTTGAAGAAATCCTGCTTGGTTCATGCCCTAATTACAAATCCTGCTATCTACCAAAGGTTGATTAAGGATTTCTGGAGAAATGTTGTTGTAAAGAAAAATGATCAAGGTGAAAAATTAGTGGAAGCAACAATCGAAGACAAGAAAATTCTAGTAACATAAAGCATCATCAGAGAATCTCTTCAAATTGAGGACAGACCTGAGTACCCCATGGAGATTGACGTTCATCAAATTGAGGAAATTTTAGAGTATATGGGATACGAACGAACTTTTCCTCCTACAATCAAGAAGCTGCTTCCTCCATGCTGGATGCTTTTGGCTCATGTGTTCGTCAGTTGCATTTCTGGCCGGAGATCAGGAGCAAACGAGATTTCTCTAGCCAACAGTGGTGCCATTGTAGCATTGGCAGTAGGTTTTGAGTTTAATTTCTCAAAATTCATCATGAATGAAATGATACTAAATCTTGAAGGGATCAAAAGAGACAAATTTTGTATGTATCCAAGATTTTTACAAATCATCCTTAATGTAACTCACCCCGAGTTGGAGAGAGGAAATGATACTCTGAATTTCAAATCCATTGGTCCAAGTGCCTTTGGACTAATGAAGCAAAAGAGAGGCGGAAAGTTCGTATTTGAAGGAAAATTTCCATTAATAAAATTTGGAATTTTTAAAGAGGATGTCAGAGAAGAATCAGCAGAACAATCCATGCCGATGGAAATGAAGATATTTCTCTCTCCCCCTCCGGGCCTGAAGTGGAGGAGATTCATCACTCTCCCACAGCTTATGTATCTGGTGAGCATGATAATCAGAAAGAAAATGATTCAAAATCTTCTCGAGAGGATGATGATGATGATCTTTATGAAGATGTGGAATTTTTGAAAGAAATCGACTTTACAGGAATCAATGACGACATTCCAAAAAACATAGAATTTGATTTTGGTGATGAAGATTTTGATCCTTATCTTGATATTCCCAGCAGCCGTGTAAATAAAGTCAATGAAGTTGCTTCTTTAGCAACTAAGACTAGAGATGAAGGAAATGTTCTCAAAATTCTACTCTCTACCTCAAATCCCTTGGAGGTCACAACAAGTCAAGGAGATGTGACATCAGAGATTCCTCCCTCTGTGTCACTTGTCTCAACATCAGCTCCAGTCATTTCTGTCTTATCTGAACCTCAGACTTCTCAGACTTCCATAAGAACAAGCCAATCTCTTGAAAGTCTGGAGGTACCCTCTATAAAATGTGCTCCTCAAGTTATTTCAACAATCACTGCAACCGCTCCTGACTCTCCTCCAAAGCAGACTGATGAAGGTCGAAGTACCATGTTCGAGACTGGTGGATCCTCTTCTATTCCATAATATTCTCCAACTCGACCTTCTCTAGATGAAGCTTCTATCAGATTAGTAAAACATATGGCTCAATCTAGTCCAACCTCTTCACGCGGGAAAGGAATATCATTTAACGATGGTCGGACAGATGATGACAAATTCTCTTCATCTGATCTCTAAGAGGAAATTGGAGTTCTTTGCCAACAGCTCATTGAAAAGTCAATTCAAATGGATCAGCTTTCTGCACATATCTTTGAGCTCAGGGAAAAGGATGAAGAAAATACCAAACAAATCAATGATCTACAAACGAGTCTTGGATCTGTTCTAGCTAATTATTTCAATCTCAAGAACGTATTGTATGATGTTTTTGGTGAAAAAGTTAAAGCCCTCTTCCAACAGCCTCATGGAGTAGTTGATCCTCCTTCTGTTCAATCACCTCCTGCAACTGATGACCTACCTGTTAACCCACCTGCTCCAAGAACAACTACAATTGTCCAACACATTTGAACAAGAACCAGAAGGAAACAGAGCCAGAATCACAATCAAACAGGGCAAAAGAATTGTGACTGCAAATCAACGCGATGGAATTTTATTCATGAAAAATACCAATGAAAATCGCAAAGCAAAAGACCCTGCTTTGAGTGTAACAGATTTGAAAAAGAGAAAGTTTGGCGACGAGTATGGTGACAGATCTGGTATCCGTATGTGGGTTTTCGATCCAGAAACGAATTTGTGGGTGGTAAAGCGAAACTCAGGAATATCTGAGAGTTACAAAAGCACCCATGATTTCAATTCTTGGACTAAGACTGATCTATCAGAATTATTTAGGGTCCCCTTTCACAATCCCTCGCAAGATCCAAGTGCATCTAACTTTAAGAGGTTCCTTGATAGGCAGGTCAAAGAAAATTTTACCAGTATGAAGACTGCCAAAGCCCTTTATCGAAAGGATAAGGATGTTCTTGACCCAGAAACAGGCAAACCTATGAAGATTATTTTATGGCCTGCTACAAAAAAGCAAAAAGAAATTCCAATCCCTCAGCACTTCCAGGAGGGATATCTTGACAATATGGAATTTTGGGCATACAATGACGAAACTACAACTACTGCTATCAAATTCAAGGATCAAGAACATGTTTTGAGGCTGATTAATGCAAAAGATCTTCTTCGTTTTCGAGAAAGGGATATCCGAACTCTGGCTCGTCACCAGATAATCTGCGGAAAAGACGTAATGGAAGCTGCTTCTAAAGAATACACTGCAATGGTGGCTACGATCATAAATGGAAGGTTGTGGATGGGATTGATGGGGAGATCAGATCTGAGGTTGTTTGAGAAGCCTACTGAGGAGCCAAAGGAGTGAAGACAAGAATATCCTAGTCTCAAACCAAAGGGGAGACTGAAAGAACATAATTTTGTGGTTGGAGCTAGGCATCATTTTGTATAGGTGATAGTGTCATTTTTGCAGTGATTGTGTGTTGTCTTGTAATGTGTGCTGCCACACATGTGTGTGCGGACGCACACAGTATGTGCGGCCGCACTCATGTGTTCGGCAGCACACTCTTGTGCTGGTAGAAGGAGTACTATTTATAGCAACTGAGTTGTGTCAGTTTGTACTAGTTGCTTTGTGTTAGAACTCTGCAGTAGTTGTACTTTTCTCAAGATGTACTTGACATTTACTGAATATAGATGTGTGCATGCTTGATTTTGCTTCATCTTCTTCTACATCTCTCCTTTATTACAATCAACTTCATTGATTACTGAATTGGATCATTAGATTTGGGACTTACAACTTCGTATGAGGAAGTTATGATTTTTCTAAGTTTCGGATATAGCAGTAGACAGCTAAAAAATCAAAACAGATATCAAGCGACTTTTAGCTGATGCAATCTAAATGAGAACTCAAGATCTCAATAATAGTAGAACAACGGTAAAAAGACAGATGAAAACGGAAGTTATGAATTCTTAACGGACTTTTCCTGTCCCGGCTTGTTAAAAGTATACTATTAAAACTAAAGTCAAAATTAGTCGACGGAGTCTAAATGAAAGCTGTAGAGCATAATCTCACATACGCGTGGATATAAAGAACATCAAAAACGGAGCTCGTATGCAAAAGATATGAATTTCTGAAGTTCGGGGCACGAACCCCGACACTGTATCAGAGCTCATGACGTGAACATAGGATTCACGATGTGAACTCACAGATGACATATCCCGGATCCTGAGAGGCAGACATCGCGACTACACACCTGATGATGTCCAAGGTCATGACTTGAATAAGTGGTTCACGACGTGAATTCTGAATTTTTAGTAGTATAAATAGAAACTGAAGGCAGTCAGTTTTGGCTACTAATTTCTCAACCTCTCTCCTACTCTACTCAACTTTAATCTTACTTTTAACCCCTAAAGCCCCGATATCCCCCCGACACCCGAAGCAAGTACTGACGCTCCGAAGATCCTGAGAAGAAATGATTTTCAAGCCGAAACTCTGCCTGCGTGAAGCCCGGTCCTTCACCAGAAACCCACGGTTACGTCAAGAATGATCCTCCCCTAGAAACGAAACGCTGCCCGATTCACCGCTTATCGGGTGAGTTCATACCCCTACACTTTTCCAAACTTTTTATATGTTTTATAGGGGGAATACAAGTATAACACAAGGAAACTTGTGTTACAAACTGTCGATTATGTTTTTCTTATACTTTACGTATTTATTACATGAAAATATAGACTACATATAATAAACTTTATTATCAAACTTTTGAACTTCTGAAAAGTGATAGTAAAAAGGTTTCATTATATAAATGATGTGCACATAACCTATGATAGGTATAGTGTTATGGAAATTACAGGTTAGTTCACTTAGAAGGAAAAATGATAGGAAAACAAACGTATAAATTGTGATAAGTATAATTTATGAGTCAACCCACTCTTTCTATCGTACAAAGTTATAAATAAAAAATTTTATTTTTATTTACTAAAAGATTTTTCAAAATATTACTCATGAACTTGTTAGAAAATCATATGTTTGACAATGGCTTTGTTTAGTATCAAACAAAAGTCTTCACTTATAGCCAGAGTCTCCTGGAGGGAGAGCGTGAATTTGTGTATAGATCTATATGCAACTAATGATTCCGCACCCTGAATGTTAGCTACAGTCTCTAGGGTGACAAATGTCATTAACTGCCTGGATAACGGTCATATTAGTATGGTCATAAGAACTTGCACACGGAAACAATGACTCATGCGCGTAGTAATACGCAATTCAAACAAGCTCAAGGAATAATAACTATATGATTACTTCGTATTTACATCAGGGTTATATATGGTTTTTATTCGATAGACAGTGGAATGTGTGACTTCCGCCTCATTTCTTGTTCCTTGTTTGGTTGTGGACATAGGGTAGAACCACCCAATCGACTATCGGTTCAGATCTTAAATATGTATCACATGTAAGTACTAAGTAATTATGATAGGATATTATCAACAGATTCAAAATTCAGGGTAAACACATCTTCAACTAGTTTTACTTAATAATAAAACTACAAATTATCAAACTAAGTATGACATATTTACTTACATGTTACGGTCTGAGAGTATTTAGACTACACTCCAGCTTTAGGGAAGATATAGGATTTTCCGGGTTTAATAAATTCATTTTAGCCACAACGAATCATAACTTATTTCATAGAAAATATCGGATTTTCTGGAAACATATACAATAATTTACACATTTGTGTGATTTCTTACTGGATAAGTTTGGGTTATATAAAATGAAGATTCGATAGATAGTGGAATGTGTGATTTCCGTCTCATTCCTTGTTCCTTGTTTGGTTGTGGGATTAGGGTAGATCCACCCAATCAACTGCCAGTTCAGATCTTTGATATTATATACTTATGTGCACTAAGGAATCATGGTAGGAACTAGTATTGGTCACTTTAAAAATGTGAATTTAAAGTATCATATATCACTCTTTAAACGTGAGAAACATATACATTTTGGTCTTAAGGCTTAAGGCTACATTTCATGTTATTAAGAAAATATAGGATTTTCTGTAGTAATACACGAACATTTGCAAGAAACAATATACTTATGAACTCACCAACTTAAATGTTGATACACTTTCCAAATCACTTGTATTCTCAGGGAACTGATAAATAGGTACTCGTACAAGTTTCAAGAAGACGGAGCATCTTTGTTTTGGTTTTCTACTTTTGAAATCAAACAACCTATGTTATGTATATAATGTAAACACCTTATTATCAATACAATGGTTGTCTTTGCTTAAATTACTATTTACATTTGTTATGATACTGTACATGACGTCCTCCGTCACCGAATGTTTCCGCCGTCTAGGTTTGGGTGTGATAGAGTTAGCCAACGGAGTCCAAATGAAAGTTGTAGATCTTATGTTTACCTATGTGTGGATATAATAAACATCGAAAATGGAGCTCGTATGCGAATGTTATGAATTTTGGAAAATCGGTTGATTTCCTCCCTGTGTGCAATGCGACGTGTCAGCACCAGGTTGTGCTTGGATGTAGCCAGCTGGCGCACAACGTGAATATCAAGAAATTCACGACCTGAACCTTCCTCCAGCCCCCTACAAATAAGAGGTGAAGCCCTCTTCATTCCTCACACCTCCCATCACTTCCCTCTCTCTCTAGAATATCTCTCTAGGGCCAACCCCCCCCCCCCCCCGCGGAAAGCATAGGAACCTTCCTAGCATGAGGTGGAAGCCCCGGTGCGCCTGATGCCTCCATGAAGAAGAGCCTTTCGGCTCGGGAACGTTGCTCCAGCGGACCCCGGTTTTGAGAAAAACCTTCTGTAAGTGAGCTACGCCTACCGTAACTTTAGTATAGCTTATGTTTCAATATAGTAATGCTACTAGGACCTTATAATAAATACTTGGGCTATTATTATGAGTTATATAAGTGTCGTTATAGTATCTTTTTAACCACTTGCGGTATGGGGAATCTGGTTTGGAGGGTCGCTTGGGTTGCTGGATTCAGAAGTGTTATATGCCAAAATGATCCGGCCCTCTCTCAAATAAACTCGGTGTAGGGGTGAGCAACGGAACTGGGTACCCACTTTAAGAACCAGAACCATCTTAGAACTGCTGGTTCCATAACCGGAACCGCCTCAGCGGTTCTGGTTCCGGTACCTAATTTTTTGGAACAGCCTTAAGCGGTTCCGGTTCCAGTTCTCCTTTTTTCGGAACCGCTACGCGCTGGGTATCCTCCGGAACCGGTATGTATATATATATATATATATATATATATATATATATATATATATATATATATATATATATATATATATATATATATATATATATATATATATAAACAAACTATTGAAACTTTTAGTATCACCACTTATAGAGTCTATACAATCTTTGAATCTATATTACAAAATCAAATAGAAACCAACAAATTCTCCATGCGTAAATATCTCTATCTTTCTTTCTATTAATTTATGCTCCAAGTCTACAACAGATTGTATTTAATTGTAA